TTGGGTAATGTATTATTTGTGTGACTAGCTTGACTCATGACAAATGTGCTTGAATTTGAAAAGAATCACAGTACAGACTTATAGACAGTTTTCTCAATATGGTCTTACGATTTGGCGAGATATTGCCTGAGAAGCACACATTACGCAACGCGTTTTAATGTAATTTGATTTTCTTGACATAATGTCCATGTGAAGAAGTCGATATGAGATTGCGGCCGGGAACGTGCTTGAATTTCCGGCGCTTATGAAGTTGTGACGCTAGCTATCATGCAACTAAAAGATCTTGAGGGAAAACCCGCCATTGTAAGAGTTAAAGTCAAAACATTAGAGTTTTAAGGCAACTGTAATCTGCGTACTGGCCGTTTTAATCTCACTGAACGCCCCAATTAACGCCAGTTACGTAGGCGAAAGCAACAATTATGCATCGTCATTAAGTGAGTGAAGCAATAACAAAACAGGCAAGTAACCTTTAGGAACAAGCTCCTGCTTGTCGTGTTAATTGAGAGCCAGTGTCACAGGTCAATCGACTCACACGAAATTAATCATATATACAAAGCATATGACATTCCTCATGCTGACAGCATTTAATTTATAATTGATAATTTCAAGTGTTCTCGTGCCACGAATCACTCTCAGTGACTAGAATTGACCTTATTGAGCATTAAAACACTTTTAGCGCCTAAACGGAAAGTTGATACAAGTTATTGCAGATATTTAGACTCAGCCATCATTTTGAGAGTATTGTATCACGTTGTTGACGACCGGACGTTTGCTTGATTTTCATCTCAAATTTGTCGCGCCGAACTGGTGCTTGTTTTGACATGTGTTACGTAAATAAACAAAGTGGCTTCCACACAAATCTTAATCACTAAATAACGTCGTCATTGCTCTTTCTGCCTTTTTCAAAAAAACATGTCTATCTTCTGACGAAACAACACTGCAGTAAAATAGATCAATTCTTGGTCAACTACACTCGGTATTTGTATTGTTGATCAGATAATGAATAGATAATTTTTTTTTAAAAGAAAACGTTTATTTCGCCAATTTCTTTTACTTTTGTTTCTCGGCTGGAAGAAAAACTAGGTTGAAAATCTCAGACTATAACCTTTACCATTTGTACAGGATTCGGAAGAAAAGCATTATGTAATAATATTGTTCCTTATCGCTAGCAGATTAGCATGTTAGTTTGCGGTTCTAAAAAAGAAAACTTCTGACTCGATTTGATGTGAATAGCAGAGTCTGAATTGGATAGTAGTTGCGATAATAAACAAAGTTTAAAATGACAGGTAGCTAATCTTACTTTGTGTAGATGTGTTTTAGAAACCGGATTACCAGTAAGTTGTCAAATATAAATTTTAGGTAACACAAGCATAATTATTGTTTTAAGAAGAATATTAGCTGATACAACCGCCTCATTACACTTACGCCTAAGATTTATATCCATTCATAATGCCTTCAACCGCTTAAAAATGATTTTTTTTTACTGCACAATGATATACATGTAAGCACGTTGACACAAGTTCCAGCGGAAGTTTTTATAACCGGAGTTTTGACCTTTTTCCAGATCCTCATGATGTTAGATCTTAACACGTAAAATACACGCACGTTGCAAGAAGCTTAAATGATCCATCGTAGGTATATTTCTCGGGGTAAATTGTACATGGGTCTGTACATAAATCATGAAAGCTTTGCTTCTTTAATTTGCGACCGATTTTTGGATTGCCATATTAATGCTACGTGTCTTTTGGAGCCATGTTTCCGGGTCTTTGCCTATACATACACACTGACACCGATCGTGTGCCCCGACTTTGTGAAAACCGTTCTTAAAATGTTTATAACGGTATATTTGTCTTTGTTATGAATGACATGACATAAATATTGCGTTACCGGAATGTTATTAAAAGCGCGCTGCTGATTTTATGCTTTGTTTCTTGTTGAACAAAGGCACAACTTTTAACACTCCTTAAGTTGACATATTACCGTTTTAATGAGACTCGATTTTAATTCGTGACCCTAAAAATTGAAGTTACTAGTAATATGAAATAAAAGATACGAAAGCGAAAAATCAAAGAATTAAAGGTAAATTATTAAAGGTCAGGTATTTATAGCGAATGCAAACGACGATATTTGTGAGTTTTACCTTTTTTGAGTTACAAACTAATGCTCCTCTGGAGCTTATTAGCTTCGCCGTGATTTTATTTTTTGAAAATGCATATTAATTTTAGAATTAGTATTGACCTTGTTAAGCATCAAAACACTTTTAGCGCCTAAACGGAAAGTTGACACCGTTATTGCCATCATTCTGAAAGTATTGTGTCACGTGGCTGACGACGTTTGTTTGACTTTCATCTAAAACTTATCGCGCGGCGTCGAACGAGTGGTTGTTTTGACATGTGTTATGTAAATATAACAAAGTAGCTTCTTAGAAAATCTTAATCACTAAATAACGTTTCTACCTTTTGGAAAAAACATGTCTATCTTATGACGAAATATCCCTGCAGTAGAACAGATCCGTTCTTGGTCAACAAAACACGCTATTTGTATTGTTTATTAGATACTTGAAGCGCTTTTTGACGCCCCTGGGTTAATTTGTGCTTAAAATCGTACCATAAAATCACCTGAAATTCTACGCCAACGTTAATTGTCATCAAACTGCTCGCTTCACATTGAAAGATCGTATTTCAAGCACTACTTCGCTATTCCGGTGTTTAGCCCGCTTACTACGCGCTTAATTAAATCATCCGGCTATGAAGGTCGCAACGATTTTTGTAGCACTGGCTTGTGTGAGCTGCTTCCTCTCCACCGTGGAGTCTTGGCGTCGCAGACGGAGACGTCGATGCTATCGTAATTGCACGCCTGGTAACTGGGGAAGATGGAGCACCTGTACAAGATCATGCAGCAGGGGGACACAAGTTCGCACAAGGGGGATTTCTGTGGCGGCTGCTTGCGGTGGTTCATGCAACTACAAGCTGAGTGAGACCAGATACTGCAACACACAATGTTGTCGCGTCAATTGTGCCTGGAGCTGGAACTCGTGGAGTCCTTGTAATGGTTGCGGCATGTCGACGAAAACACGTACTATGAGTATAACTCGATATCCGAGCTGCAGGGGAACGTCTTGCCCCAGTCAGAGAAGTCAAACCATAAGTTGCAATACTGGAATGTGAGTTATTTTGAAAAAGTTATTGAAAACTTTTTCGTTTCGTAGGCGTGCATTTGGTATTGAAGTACACAGCTTGCTAGAAGTCCCCTGTTGTTTTGGGAACATAAACCTCCTGTCTGTGTCGTCAATTCTTATGTTTCTTACTGTGGACAACAGTACGTGTTCTCTTTCTTTGACGTTTTTTGTTACCTTAAACAATTTCCAAATTCTGTTTCTCGAGTTTAAACCAAATGAATAGGTAAAATCTGCCTTGTACGATTACAGAGTGTATGATCCATTATTAATAATTAATTCTAAGTAGCGTTATAGTATATTTTTGTTGACGCATGGCGGAAAATGTAATTCTGCCTTTCAGTAAAATTGAGAAATTTAACGAGGTTCGTGGCACACTAGCCATTAACACACAAATTTCTTGTTGCGTGAAAATTCGAGATTTGTTTCTGTTATGTTTTTTGTGCCCTGACATGATCTTGCTGCCCTCTCTTAGTGCAGAAAAAAAAACAGACGGAACATGATGTAACCTTTGTGGTTATCTATTACCGTGTCACGTCTGACTCTGTGCGTATGTTTTTTTTCTTGTTGTCCTTGCAAAACGCGATGAGATTATATATTAATTGAGACATGAGTTGGCGTTTAACATCTTTTTTTTTTTTGCTGTAGATCTTCGATAATCCCGATGGAAATGATTAAACTGAAGTTTTAATAAAATAACTTAATTTAGATCTGTACGCTATTAGAGTTAGATATGCTTAAGTCGCAGAGATTATTGACTAATTAACCTCTTTTGTTTGCGTTCTTTGGTATAAACTTCTAATTTTTCTCTAACTTTGCCGCCTACCACACGCTCCTTTCTGAGTAAGGAGGGACAGTAACTAGTTTACATTCTTTGAGCCTCAAATCTTACTAGGAAGCTCAATAAAGCCCTTTCTGTTTACTTATGGTACCTGGCACTGGCGCGCACCAATTTCACTTGCATAATTCATCTGGTTATATGTTGCGCAACGCAAATCGAGATCTTTTCGAAGCAGAAAGAATTGGCCTCGAGTTTTCTCACGAGAGATCCGAACGTGGTACTTTTTCTTATAACCGTGACTCGGTGGATGATTCGTTACGTGATTTTCTGGAGAAAATGGCTTGCAAATTGATGGAGTCGGATATTTGTACATATTATTATTTATTATTTTAAGATTGAAACGGAGCCTTTAAAGACAAGTGAAAAACTTGTCAGGAGAAAAGGAAAAAACTATAAGCCCAGTATACTGAGAGCAAGATTTTGTGTCTTTCCGTGCTCAGAAGAGTATGAGAATGACTGAATATATAATCACATGTCTTTATGTGTTTACCTTTCAGTTTATTGCGGGTATCAAAACTCAGAATGGCATATTTTCGCAACCATTGCAAAATCTTCGGGCGAAAAAATTTCGCAAAAGTAATTCGAAGATTATTGCATTTGATTTATTTTAAACGGTTTCAAGAGTTACTTTTTTCCAGAAATAAATTATGTTAAAAAAGGATTAACTTTGTCCTCAACAAGACCGTTAATTCAAATTTTTATCCAAAACTTTTAAGTAAAACTGTAGCTCAAGGTCTAAGCAGTAGGTGAGAATTTATCGGCGCAAATCTGCCTTGGCTCTAGTCAGGCTTAATTCATGAACGGGTTAATCTGAGCAACTAAGTTTCCAAACTGTTCCCCGTTACATCGAACCAATTTTATCGATGTATGGGGAACATCTGAGAATAAGTACAGAACAGACTAATCAGGAGACTAAGCGGATAGAAGCAAATTTAATTCAAGAAAATAAATATGAGCTCAACGTGATCTTTCGTTTCGACACAGATGCTGTCCAGTTAATTGCGTAACTGACAATTGGTCAAGTTGGTCAGGCTGCAGTGCTGCGTGTGAACAGAACGGCAAACGGGTTCGAACACGTTCAGTCATAACACAGTCTAGCTGCAATGGTACTCCTTGCGGAACCCTCCGAGAATCGAAGTCATGTAGAGGACCCTGTTGTCCAAGAGACTGTCAGGTAAGTGTCCAAGGTATTTTGTATAGATAACCGATCCGCTTATCGTAGGGTTAAGCACTTAGTCTAATGCTTAATGCAGTTCTAGTTTCCTATATATTATTGAGAAAAAGCTCAAATATAAAGTTAACACAACGTTTAATGGGAACATTTTCATCCTTGTGCGCCTGCGGAACGTAAAAAGTCAAATAACTAATATACAAATTTGATCATAAAGCCTCTCTGATCTTCCAAAAATAGGTAAATGCTGAAATGATCTTTGAAAAAAGCCACTCAGAACCTCTTTTCGAGTGAGTTTTCCCAAATTTGTTGTTCAATTATGCTGGTAACGAAATTAGCAGCTAGCCGTACAAGATATTTACGTATAAAGTTTCTTTTCAGTTATTATTATAATGTTGCTGATACTTTCACGAAATTGTTTATGAAAAAGTCAACTACTTTGTCGAAATTGCTTATGAGCATGCTATCTGATTTTATGTCATCAGGTCACTAACTGGTCTAGTTGGGGGAAGTGTATAGCTCCGAAGGGAAGGTGTTCTGTCAACAGTGGAACAGAGACAAGATCTCGTAACGTCACTTCACAACCAAGCTGTGGTGGAAAACCCTGCCCATCCTTAAGCCAGTCAAAAAGATGCACACCTGTTCCCATTCCCTGCAAGGTAGGCGTTGATTTGTTGATGTATCCTTGTTTTTTTGTGTGTGTTATTTCTCCGTTCTTGTCTTCGTTTTGTTCTGTTTTGTTTTGTTTTGTTTTGTTTTATTTTGTTTTACTCGAATCCTTTTCCGTCTTGGATTTAATATTTACCACATAGGTTTACTTGTTTTACTATATCATCTTAGTGATATTAGACTCATTTTTTGTTATCATAAATTCTGTTTTTGATCAAAACTTCTTATTGCCACTTACTGCACCTTAAGATGAACTCATGGAGTTCATGGAGCCCTTGTACCCCACTGAATGGCAAATGTGGGCCAGGTACTCAGTACCAGACACGTAGTGTGGCGACTCAGCCTTACTGCAGCGTGGCGTGTCCGACAAGCAGGCAAACACGTTCGTGCAAGCACAGTTGTTGTCCTGTTGATTGCGTGGTGTCGACGTGGACTGCATGGAGTGCTTGTTCAACAACATGCGGCACAGGTAGGTGGCACACGTTCATATCACCGAACTTGAAACACTTGAAATGAAATAAACGATTTGATCTGAGGATGAAGTAAAGAAAATGCAAAGTAAAGAGCTATCTTCGCTGCAATTAAAGAAGAGAACCCTGAAAGAATTCAGGCTTCGACTGAGTATCATGTTGGGATCAGAGCAGTTTTAAGAAGATTTTCTTTCAAGTGGCTTCGTGGCTCAGTTGGAAGAAGCGCCTAGCGAGGATCTGGGAGGCACGTCTTTTAGTCCTGTCTACGCCTGAATTTTTTTGAGGTTTCTTTCTGCAATTGCTTTTACTGCAACTTACCTGTGAAGCTTTTTGCTTTTATTAGTTTAATTGATTTAATTAGAACTTGAAACGTTAGTTACCCAAGGGCGTCATCTCGAAGGGAATATTGCTCTTACTGTTAACTCATAACATCGTTGCTTCATTAAGAGGATAATTAACATTGGCGTAAAAAGGGAAACGGTAAACATTTTTCATTAGCTTATTATTATTTTTTTTTTTTTTAAGGTTCAAGGACTAGAACACGAAACATAAATACCCAGCCTTCTTGTGGTGGCAAATCTTGCCCAGCACAGAAAGAAACAAAATCTTGCTCTCAGTACAACAACCGTGACTGTGTAATGTCCCTTTGGACAGCCTGGTCACTCTGCAGCAATAGCTGTGGTAGCGGTACGTCCACTCGAACACGCACTATCAAAACGACAGCGTTATGCCGCGGAAAAGCATGCGGAGCAAGAACAGAAAGTAAGCCGTGCACTGACTTCCGAGACAACAGGGACTGTGTGGTAAGTAACCCTACCGTTGCCATGTTTTGTAAGAGTTGAATAAGAATTACTGCAGAATATGTCCATAACATTGACAATGCACTTAATCTGCAAGGTAGGAAGTATCTCATTGGTGAGTCTATGTTACTTGGTCAATAGAGGTAGAGAACTGTAATTTGGTATTATCAACTGAGTCGATAACGTAAATTGGCCACCGTTAAGTGTTTCAAAGCTGACGTTTGGAGCGTTAGCCCTTCGTCAGAGCGAATGACGAAGGGCTAACGCTCTAAACTTCAGCTTGGAAACTCTATACGGTGACCAATTACATCATCAACTCAGTTGATATTGCCGAATTACCCTGTTATTTCTCCCACCGACGCAGCACCGCAGTCTCGTTAGAAACCCCCTTTATTTATCAGAGATAGGTAGTTCGCCGGGCCACGTCGATAAACATTTCTTCAGCTCTTTCTATTACCTCTCTCCATTCACACCATACAATGCTTGACAAATTAAAAAAACAATTAGTTTCTGCAAACTTCACGCAGACTTCACGCAGAAATACTGTGTTTTCTTCAAGTTGCCAGATAGTGAGCTCGGCGTCCGCTTTACAGGCTGTATGCAGGACTGACTTATTCTCTACGAGGATATATCTTCCGCTAAATTTCTCACATTCTCTTCGTGGAGTTTGACATTACTCGTTCAGTAGTATTTTGCTGTTGTGTTTCAGGTGAACTCTTGGGGTTCGTGGGGAGCCTGTAGTGAAAAGTGTGCTGTTGGATCTAAACAAAGGACGAGGACTATAAAGATTACTAAAAGGTGTCAAGGTCGAGATTGCCCGGCTCTACAGGTACGTTTCTCGAGGAAAGAAAGACTGTCTCTCATCTTCCAGTGAGGGAAAGTATAATTGACTGATGTGAAATACTCTTGCAGAATGTTGACATCACATAAGGCCGAACAACGGCATTGCCTTTGCAGAAAAATGAATGCTTGCTTTTCGAACTAGTTATGCAGTTGTAAATACCTTTTTAGTGGGTTCACGCGATTAGCCTAACCCTGCGGATTTGCGGTCTTTTCTTAGATTTGTTTGGGTTTTTTTGTTTGTTTGTTTATATGATTGATTTTATTCTACTGTGCGAAAATAATGGACCCAAATCGTAGACGGGCCTTTTGCTGTTACTGTCGTTTCTCTCCGCTGCCAAGCTCAACCTCTTAAATATTCAGTAATCCATTCTTCATTGCCTGTCTTTCCAAAGGTTCGTTCAGACATCTAAATGGTCAGTAATTACTCATTTGCGATGTCGTCTCGCTTCGCTTTTTCACAGAATACTACTCAGTGTGGAACTCCAAACAATGGTTGCCTACACAAGTGCAGCAATGGTGTATGTTCATGCAACAATGGTTACTATCTGGCCACGGATAGGAAGAACTGTATCGCTAAAGATTGCAAGATGCCAAAACCGTCATACTGTGCCCCAGGTAAATTCATAGCATTAAGTCAAACCCCGTTCTACAAAACAAGGTCTTAGGTATAGGACGAATTGAGACATAAATTCTCTTTTCAGTTTTTTTCTTTGTCAATATCAGTATAATATCAAGCAGACAATTGTTGGAAATAATCAAAAATATAAACGAGCGGATTATTAGTTGATAAAATACCAAATTCTCTGAACTTGCATCATAAGAAACCAAGTGTAGACAGTAAGAAGAATTACTAATTGAGATCTGGGATTGAAGTCAGTTTTCGAGCAAAGTGGCTCATCTAGCCAGAGCCTTATTCCGCTTTCTACAACATTAAGTGACTGGGAGTAGCTTTTCTTTCCCAGGATGGGATGCTTAGTTGATGCTTATACAGTGAACCGTAGGATTTCTCTGAGAGCAAGGGTGCTAACCTGCTCGATATTTATGAATCAATTTAAACAATTAACCTTAGTTCTCCTTTCATGTTTTTTCGCAAAATAAGTATTGAGTATTCGAATTGGCGCATTCGTTAACCCTTTACTCTCTATCATCAGTATGTATATTCTCCATAATGTTCTCTATACATTTCCTAAAGCGCTGACAAGGAGAATTTGTTTAAAAGTCAAGAGCTTTATAAGTTGGTGATCATTACCTAGATTCTTGTGACCTTAATATTTGATTCAGGTTTGATATTATAAGGAGAAATTAGAAGCTGGTCACTCTCACTCTATTTACGAAACAATTTAAACAATTAATCTTAGTTCTCCTTTCATGTTTTTCCGCAAAACAAGTATTGAGTATTCGAATTGATGCATTCGTTAACCCTGTATACTCCATCTAAAATAGATGGAGTATACAAAGCGTTATTATAACATAGCTAGTAAATTTGTGTAATCAAATTCAATCGCGTGAGCATGCTTCATATTCCTATTGTGTTCGCTCATGACGTCAGCAAACAAATCCGTCGAGAAAAAAAAAATTTCCAACGGGTTGAAAATGTTATAAAACTCAAGAAGCTAGAGTTGATCTCGGCTACGCCTCGAGCAACTCTTACGCACATTTCCACTGTAGCAGCAGTGCATTTAATGTATTGATTTCCTCGAATGTTGATGAACTCGTACAACTTGCAACTTAGGGGAGAGTTAGTAGATGGATGCAGGGGTCAAAGCTGGAAAGTGACGCGCAAAAGTAATCCTTGAAGTCAATGCCAATTGTTGGAAATTCACAAGTCGCTCGCCACTGAGTGGAGTGATAGAGAATTGATTCCATATTGGCTCGGGACAGACGGTAACTCGACCAATTGTTTCCAGGATACTCTTCTTCCACGGCATAATCCTCTATCACTTTGGCCTTTCTCGAGCGAGTAGCTTTGCACAAGGGTCCAAGCTGCTCCCGGCTCTGAACTAAAATCACAATAAACGTAAAGAATGTTTTTTGTCCGGTTTAGTATTTGGTACACTCCGTTTTTATGTTTCCCAGAAAGCATGACATCGTGACAGGATCGTATGGTCTTTTTACATCTGTGGCCAGTATAAGCAGGCAGACACTCGCACTTGTATCTCCTGGCCGTGACGTCACATATCTCGTGACATGTTCCATTGTTTTCGCATGGAGCTGATTGACAGCATCTGTTGTTACATGATTCCTTTTTACGGTTCGTCTCCCCAGGCTGAAATCGTGATGTTGAACAGTTTTTAATTTATCAGAAATTAGGGTTTTGGTTTTAAACAGAATACCCTTAAAGAAAAATCGTTGAAAGAAAGTTTTAATGCTAATTGTTTTAGATGCAGGATAAATAAAAATATGACTTGCATGTCTGTAAGAATTTGCTAGCCAAACAGGTTTGATGTCGCGCTCGTATGCTTGAAAAACTGGAACACTTACTTGTAAGGAGTTTCAACTAAACACACATAGATTGCGAGTGTCTTTACGTGTGGGGCCCATTACCAAAAGCTACATCTTTGGATTTGGAGAAAAGCCTAAAGTATTCACTTTTAAGAACAGAAATAAAGATGGTAATTATTAATTTCAGAATATGACATTTACAAGTGCGTAAAAAATCGAAGTAACTAAGCATTGGGATGGTTTCAGTATCTTTGTTCCACCTCATCGCTTCAACTAGATTTAGTCTGTATGGGTATATCCTTAGATTGGTTTGTTCTTGGTTCTCAAGCTTCTCTTAACTCTCTCGGTCAAGCAAATAAAACATATTGCTGCAATGCAACGTTGCAGTCCACTGAGCGAGTTCTATTCCGCTTTTGTACCTTCACGGTTTTAGAATTATAGTGAAAACAAAGTTTACCTTCTTCAGGTAGCTCCGAACCATCTCGTAATACCACCAACCCCAAGTGACTTTGATGGATTCAGGATTTGTGTACGAAGCAGCCTCGTTGAGATGACAGTTTTCATTCTCATTATCTTTCTCATAATTTGCGGATAAACACTAGCAGTTTTGGGCACATTTCAGAAAGCAGCTGTTGTGGTTGCTTGTCGAGTGTTTTAAAAAGAGAATGGCCATGTACGGCATAGTTTTCCCTCTTACGAAATTTATCTTTTGAACTTGGCATATTTATCTGCTCACAGTCATCGTCGGTAGAACAATGTGCAGTGACAGACGGGATAAGGAAGAAAATTATCAGGTGCATTTGTAATAAATCCTCAGTCTAGTATGTCGACTCCTAGCTATCGCTGAATGAGAGGATTGATTCAGGTGCGTCCTTTTCACGGCTTTTTAAATTCGCTTCACGCAGTTGGTGGTTGTAAAGGATGAAAAAATATTGGTTACCATGGAGATTGTAGTCGAGGAGAGTTTGGGTTCGTGTCAAGTCTCCCAAGTTTGTCGTGCTGTTGATTCCATTTTTTTTAATTCAATTTTTTTTTGATAGGACCTCTGTCCTTCAACTAAAGCAGGGTTTTTTCTCGTATAATTTTTATCGTGCAGGTTTATAGATAGGATAAGAAAGTGTTTTCTTGATGAAGTGCTGACGAAAAGAAGAGGCTCAAACTCTCGGTTAAATAAGAATATTTTAAGGGAAGGTTTCAGATATTCGAATTGTTTTCAAAGGTTTCAGAATTTCACGCAAAACAAAGGTGGCCCAAACTTGATTAGTAATTTAACAATGCCGCGTCAATAATCTTAGTAAAAAATCTCTGAGTTAAGTGTTGTCTTTAATCTTTTCACTTTCAAGGTTTGATTCGCAGTTCTCTCCTTCAGCTGCCCTGTATTTCTTTGTAAATTAGTTAAGCGAATTTGGTGTTACATCAAGATGACATTAAGCTCAAACGTTTGTCTGATCTCGTTTGTAAATGCAATGGTATTGTATGAAGAAACTGTGCTGGATGTTGCTCACTTCAAGGTTTTCCCTCATAGGTACAGCTCTCGGTAGCACTTGCAAGCATGCCCTTGTCACGTGCCCAGGAAACAAGACCACTTATTCTGTCACATGCTCGCTAGGATGTCCTAAAGATTATTCTATAAAAGGAGCCTCTAAAGTCACGTGTCAGACATCAGGGCAATGGTCAACATATGCTACGTCTTATTGCCGACGTAATAATGATCCACCTTCTCAGGTCAGTGATGATGCTAAAATTGAAAGAAAGCGTGGTTTAGAATTAGTAAGAAGGGGGTGACAAGCTATTGACCAGCGGATCGGGTCAATAGGTTGGATGCTACCCTCTTAGTCTTAGTGATAGGTCATATACTAGGGACTTGGTGGCCTTATGCTTAGCAAGCTGAATTCCGGGTGGCGAGGTCAATTTTCGAGCCCTGGTCAAGGTCATGGCGTTGTGGTCTTAGGTAAGACACATCACTCTCGAAGTGCTTCTCTCTAACCGGTATTATATATTGGTACAGGTAAACTGTCATTGAAGCAGGATGAAATACCTCAAGGAGTAGTTGCAACGTTGTTATGTGTTTAAAAGCTGTTTCATAGTGATGTTACAAAAAGGCAACAAAACCACCTCTAACGTATTTAACCCTCTACAGCCTGACATCAGTATACATTGTCTCCATAACATTCTCCATACATTTGCTATGGTGCTGACAAAGAGAATTTGTTTAACAATCAAGAGCTTCTGTAGTTGATGATTGTTTCCTTTATTCTCATGACCTCAATGTTTGCTTTAAGGGTGATGCTGATAGGGGAAAATATTTATTAATCACTCGTAGGGATTAAAGGGTTAATGGACTCGTGTGCCAAAACACCCGATTTAGCATAGCAACCATCAGTGGTCTCTCTCGGTTTGGTCACAGTTGCAAAGCATTTCGCAATACCAATAGAAAATAGTACTCTTGATCACAAATTGATACAAGTGACTCTTTTTGCCAAATCTCTAACTCCATTGTAAATTTGTGCAATGAGTAAGATACAGCAGATGCGGGATTTGAGACTTATAGGAGAAGGGAGGGAGACGAAAATGGTGCAAAGATCATTTTTGTCACGTGGCTAGATGGAGTTCGCCACATTTGTCAGCTATTCAAATCCACTTTTTCGTCCAGTTTGAATAATAGTAATGTCATTATGATGGGAAGTTTGTGCGGCTTTTCTAGATTGTTCTTTCGGGATCTGCAACCATACAAGAGAACAAACCACGTGGAACAAAACTTGGAACGTTTTCTTCTGTGGATTCTAACAATAAAGACCAGCATACCTACAGCATTGTTAGTGGAGGGAGAGGAAAATTTGAGCTGCGTGGAGCGGATCTTTACACATTGGTGGTGTTTGATTACGAATCGTTACCGAACCAGTAAGGGTGTATCTTAAATTAAGATAGGTGAAATTTGAGAGATTATTTTGCGAGAACTATGATGGACCCTACAGCTGTTTACGCTAACTTGATCTCGAGTCTGCCTTGCTGGGTGAGAAATAACGCGCTGGCAGATATGTTGAATGTCTCAGCGTTGGGGGCGTGATGTTTCCTGACTAATTTTAGGAAGAACGACAATATTTAAAGGCTCCGTTTTTTTCTTTATTCCTGCAGGTTCACTCTAACAATAAGAAGTACAGACAATGGAAGTCCACCGATGAAGCTCGATAAAATATTTAAAATAACTGTAGCTGATGTGAACGAGAAACCGACGGCCATTCAGGTAAAGACGGTCTACAAAAAATTATTAACCTTTTTACACCCTGACATCAGTATGCATATTCTCCACACTGTTCTTTATACATTTCCTATGATACTGACAAGGAGAATTTGTTTAACAATCAAGAGCGTCTTTAGTTGGTGACCATTTCCTTTATTCTCATGACCTCAAGGTTTGTTTTAGGGGAATTTACATTTGGCATTGTTGGTTATATGCCTCTAAAATACATAGTTGGGTGTAGAATCACTTAGACAATCATGATGAGGTAAATGACAGGTTAAAACGACAGGCTGCATGCCCACCAAGGCGACAGTAGTGATAACATTAAGTCTTTGCCGGTCTTCTAAGGCCTGGTTAACCTAGTGTAGCCAAGTCGTAAAGGAGAGAATATTCCTCAAGGACAATTTAAAAGTATCTTAAAGTCTCATAATATGCGTCACCTATGATATGACAGTCGGTTTCTTTGTTGTTGTAACCTCTTCAATAAAGCAAAGCTTGGTGTACAACCGTTTGTATGAAAAAAAGGTTAAAGCTCCCTAATGATCACATGAGAGGAAAGGCCCCGAGATTTTCTTTAAAAAAGTTGCTGGAAGAAGTTTAAATACCGGCCGTTTTTCCCTTACATAAACTCTATTCAAGACACCACATTTCCAAGTCTCCTCTAAGGGCATTTCAGAATCATTACGTTTGAAGTAGAAAAATTATCATTTTATAAAAGCAATAACTTTGTCTGCTCTTTAGTTGTCAGGCAACACCGTGGATGAGAATAGTGACGTAGACACAATATTAGGCGTGCTCAGTACCACTGACCTTGATAACGGGCAGACATACAGTTACAGTTTGTTGGACAGTGCTGGAGGAAGGTTTAAAATTCAAGGGAACTTCGTGAAGGTAAGCTACCTGTATCAATAGACTATTTTGGAAAATATTGGTGAATTTTTCTAGCTGCCCAATGTAACTGGTTCAGCTATCTACTGCTATTGCTTACTCTGCTTCAACTTCCGATGGTGGAAGGTGTCAAATTTAATTGCTCCGAGTTAACCGCGTTCTGTTAGGGAATAAGTCATAACGAAGCTTGAAGCCCCATTAGGGGTAAGGAGCATACGGGATATTTGGGAGAAAAAACGTGAGGAGAAAATATAACCGGAAACGGGATATTTAAAACACAGATTCTAAAATATCGAAGCGGAATTATAGGCGTACAAAACATTGGAGGTATGGGATATGGGATATTTGTGCCTAACTTTATTGGGTCTTTGAAACGTTTCCATAGAGTGCAAATGGACCATTAAAAAACATGTGACCCAAAGAAATTAGTGGTTTAAGAGGACTTAGATCTAAACAAGACTTCAATAAAGAAGACTTACCAACGTCTTAGTAATAAAGAGTAACAGCGCTTATTGCTCATCTGATTCATTGCAGCAGTGGCTGCTTTACGCACTGGAACTGTTCTCAACTACATTTAATTCGTTTCACGATTGTTAACCTGCTGAGCGCATAGCTTTTGCCATCGTTCGAGAATAAATCTTTGAATGATCGATTACGTTATAGGTTGGAAAGTCCAACAAGAACTGCATGCTGAACGGTGGGTCCCAATGTTTCTTAAACTACGAGAGCGTATCCTCCTACTCCATAGTTGTCCGTAGTGTCGACAGCGGCTCTCCATCACTATCGATCAATGCTTCATTTAACATCAGCGTAAATGACGTCAACGACCAACCACGAGGTTTGCAGTTGTCCAATTACAAAGTCAGTGAAAATGCATCTATAAATACCATAGTGGGCAATCTTTCCGCCACCGATGAGGACGCAGGTCAAAAACTCAGTTTCTCCTTGGTTGATGACGACAATGGTAGATTTGGTTTGGACAACAACGGTGGTATCTACAAAGCCAAATCTACTGATTATGAGACAAGCAAAGTGCACTATATCGTGGTGAACGTCACTGACAATGGACAGCCACCGAAAGCGGTGAGTCAATTATGATTTGACAAAAGCCACATTCCGTGCATTATTTTTTATCATCAAAACTGCGCAAAATTCTTGAACGCGGTTGGCTATTGGCAACACCATTTATGCTTGCAATTTGACGGTATAACGGGATATCAACCACAACAATCTTATTTTTTTCTTTTTTCTTCTCAAGTTTGATAAATAAGTTTTATCTCATAAGCATTCTGTCTCTTAAATTTTGTCTTGGTACTGGTAAATTAGTTACGTGGCTTATAGCCGTCCAATTCTGTATGTAGTTATACTCGTTCTTAACAAAGAAGATTCCTGCTACGCGTTCGTTCCATTTTGTGGATCACTCGTATGATCACTGACACAATCATACTCTATACCATTATCAGTTATGATGTTACCTTCGAAATGTTTCTTGATTTGGTCAAGTGCAAATTTAATTTGACTTAAGCTGAATTGTGGAAACGAAAAAAATATTATAAAATAGGTGCAGGATCAGGGTCAGGAAGACGCAACAGACTCTCAAGATCTGATTTTTAAATTTCCCCTTTAGCTGTTAGACATTTACTTCTAAATAATTTCCATTTGGCACATCTATGGTGAAAGGTCACATTCCACTACACTTTTATAACTTGAAATTTGTCCAATTTGAATCGACTCTCTTGATATGGCAAATGTTACATTTTTATTTGTGTTTTTTTCATCAATTACTACCTTTAAGTTAAGAAGTTATTTACTTGTTCAAAGCCTTTGTTCGAAACAACCCTTGCCAACAGTCAATAACTAAAAATGTAAGTAATTTTTTCCTCTCTCCTTCTTTTTTGCGCAGATGACCAGGAATTTTTCCATTATTGTGTTAGACGTCAACGAAGCCCCAGTCTCCATCGAGCTTACTCGAACCAGCGTATTGGAGAATACGAGGCTTGGTACGGTCGTGGGCTCTCTGTCAGCAAAAGATAATGACGCTGTGCAATTCCTGACTTTTAAGCTGGATGAAGATTCCGCTGGAAAATTTTCCCTTCAATCAAACGTGACTTGTCAAAATTCTTCCTTAGGTGGGACAGTATGTGCTACAAATTTATTGGTCAACGGTGATATAAACTATGAAGATACGTCGAGCTTGGACATCATCGTGCGCGTAACGGACGAAAAAGGGCTTTTTCACACCGAAATGTTTAATGTAACAGTGATTAACGAGAATGACCCACCCACGAATGTAACACTGGATGGCAGTGATTCAGCTTCTGTGGCGGAGAATAGCATAAACGTTCAAATTGACACTCTACTGACAGACGACGAGGATCAGGGGCAGAGATTTACGTATGTGTTATCAAGAAATCCTGGCGGGAACTTTGAAATTAGAGGTGATAAACTTTTTGCTTCTAGAAACGCTACGCTGGACTTCGAGTCATCTCCAAGCTACCAGATAAAAGTGATATCAACTGACAACGGAAGTCCACCAAAATCCATTGAGGTAACTTTAGTAGTAAACCTTCAAGATGTCAACGAAAAACCAACCGATATACAATTGTCCAACAACAGCGTCCAAGAAAATCGACTTGCTGGAGCGGTGATTGGTCAGTTGTCTGTCAGGGATCCTGACAGACAGCAAGGTCACGTGTGTAGCATCACTGATTCAGCCAATGGAAAGGTAGGAATAAACAATAACAAGATAACCGTCGGTAGTGCTGGCATCGATTACGAAGAAGCAAGCTCTTTCAACTTGACAGTTCTCTGTCGCGATCCAGGTGGCCTGACGGTGGAAAAGTCGTTTGTCATTCTTGTTCAAGACATTAATGAAGCGCCCACTAACATTGCACTTTCAAACGATAAAGTCCAGGAAAATAAAAAAGGTGGCATTACTGTGGCACAGCTCAATGTCACCGATCCAGATAACGTCAAGGCACAAGTGCAAAGTGTTTCTTTCTCAATTTTGTCCTCGAATCCTAACCTACCGTTTCAAATTCAAAACGACGCTCTTGTCACCACTCGAGGGCTCAACTTTGAAAACACTGCCCAGTGGACCTTCAGAATAAAAGCAACGGATGATGGAAGACCGGTCTTATCCCGAACACAGACCGTCACCATCCAGGTTATCGACGTAAATGATGCTCCCGATGGATTAACGGTGAGAAAATTTGTTTGCTTGCGAACGAGAAATTTTTCCCGCGCCATATTATAAATCACCTGTTACTTGTATTTTGGCAATATGCCAATCCATCACTCTTTAATTGTTCGCCCTCTGGAATCAGGACCGACAGATCCGATTAGTGTTCACTACAAAGTCATTATTCTTTGGACTTGGGTAACAAACTTCACCCACTGACACACAATGCCTCCTATTACTGCCGAGAAAAAGGGGAACTTTACGAATTTTTAGGGATACCTGACAGAAGAGTGGCAGGTATAAACGTCAATTTGTTTGAGAAATTTTTCTTTCCACAAGGTACACAAATAGCGATTCTGAAGGTGAGATAAATTATCTTATTTAGGGTAAGCCTTTTCTGCGTGCAAGAAACCATCAATCTTGTTAAAGGATTGTAAATGGACTGCAGTTAAAGATATTAGCCGTTTTCACAATATGTCTTCCTTTATCCTCATAGCTTTCTAGCTCCTCTGTAAACGAAAACAGCGACAGTGACACACTAGTGGGGACATTAACAGCCCTTGACCAAGACACGTCACAGAATCACACATTTCAGTTATTGGACAGTGCCTCGGGAAGATTTAATGTCGATGGTAACCAAATAAAGGTAAGCTTTGTCAACACTTTCTGAAATTGCTCAAAGCTAATTTTTTAAAATGTGTTTTTGTTTAAAATACAAGAATTGTGAAGAAACTTGAATTCTTGATAGCGAATGAACGTTTTTCTGGTTTTTTAAATTTGGAAATTCTGGAGAATGTAAAATAAAAATCGTTTAATAACCTGGTGAACTGTTTGACAGAAAGCTGCATTTCATGTAGAGTGTTGTTAAAATGTTTAACAGAATCTCCAGAAAAGCTTCTGCCCCAACTTGTCTTTTTGCTATGATGTAGGTATGCACTGCAACAAAAACAGAATGAAATTTATTGGAATTATTCACATTAAAGATTTTTATGAACCCTGAACTTATGTTCGATTTTAAGGTGGCTGTTCGCAACACACAATGTCTGAACTACGGAGGTTCTTCTTGTCTTTTGAACTACGAGGTACAAAAACGTTACGTGATCAGAGTGAAAACAACAGACGATGGATCACCACCATTATCTTTTGAGAAGGACTTTGGTATTGATATTCGTGATGTCAATGACAAGCCACGTGACCTACAGCTGTCCAGTAATAAAGTAAAGGAGGACGCCAAGAAAAACACTTTGATTGGCCGGTGGGTTCACCTTTGTTTTGCGTTTCTTAACCCACTTTTTTCTTTCTTTTCTTCTTTGCTTCACTTCTTCTCGCATTTTTTCTGCCTGAATAGAAAAACAATTTTGCCTTATTTCCGCTCCTTTGTTTTCAACTTCCGATAACTCAAACTCCCGATAAATCGAACCTTTTTCGATTTTTCTTAGTGGTTCGAGTCGTCGGGACTCGACTATAATTCTAACCAAATTGTCTTTTGTATTAGGAAAATAGGAAAAATCTTTAAATCCTACTATTTTCTCTTGATTGCACAAACGGCTTGAAGTATCAAAAAAAGAGAAAAGTTCAGCTTAGCGAATACCGTTTTTCACACATCTCATTCTTATCCTCTCTGAAAGCTAATTGTTTTTTTTGCTTCATATCATATCGACAGTTTTTCATCGCGCGACGAAGATGCAAATCAAACGCTGACTTATTCACTCAAGAATGATGATAGTGGTCGCTTCAAGGTTGACTCCCTGGGAAACCTATACAAAGCAAACGACACTGATTATGAGACTCAGACTAAACACACCATAACTGCAGTTGTAACAGACAGCGGAAATCCGTCCTTGAAGGTAATTTACTTGATTTGTAGGACTCAAGTGATTATAGTGCACAAGTCCCCGATTTTCGGGATTTAAAACCTACTAACATTGCCTAATTTCAATTGCCAAAGAAAGTGGCTTGACCCTTAAAATACGTCAGACAACTTGTATAATTTTAACTAAAGTGGGTAAGAACTTGGCTACAGCAGATGCTGCATTGGCTAGTAACGATGAAGGTTTCAGTGACAACACAATAAAAAAGAATGAACGATTCATTTTGACCATACTTTGAAAGAATATCCTGTCTTTGCTTTTAGACTTCGAATAGACTCAGAATAATTGTTCTCAGAAAAGCGCCTGACAAGAGGGCAATATTCTCCTAACATTTTATTATTTGAATGTTTTTTTTTTGTCTCATTTTGACTTTTCATCCTCTTCGTTTCAGATGGAAAAATTGTTCACAATTGAAGTTTTGAATGTCAACGAAGCTCCGGTAAACATAAACATAACTTCTCAAGGAGGCCAGCTGTATTTCCCAGATGGGCATCCGCAGGTTCGCGAAAACTCCCCCTTGGGAACAGTTATTGGAATGCTAGAGGCTTTAGATCATGATGCAAACCAAACTCTGTCCTTTAAGCTCGATGATGATGCCGGCGGAAAGTTTACATTAGGGCCTTCGGCGAATTGCCAGACGATTACCAATATCTCAGGGGTAAACACAAAGTGCACCATTGGTCTTCGAGTTAATGGAGATCTTGACTTTGAACTGTCCAATGAGTATCACGTGACAGTGCGCGTTACAGATGCTAAAGGACTTTTTACAGCTGAGCAGCTTAGAATTAGCATCGTGGATGAAAACGATGCACCTGAAAATATCACTTTGGGCGGAAGCTACTCGGTCAGAGTGTACGAGAACGCGAATGGGTCACTCGTCGGGCAACTGGTGACTAGTGACGAAGACGTTGCGCAGGCGCATACGTATAAACTGCTAGACGACGCCGCTGGTCGATTTGTTATTCTAAACGACAAGCTTTATGTCTCATTGGCGGCCAAATTGGATTTCGAAGGTCAAAATAATTTCACAGTAAAAGTAAGAAGTACAGACAGTGGATCGCCGTCTCTAAGTGTGGAACAGGTTTTCGAAATAAGCATCCTGGATGTGAACGAGGCCCCTGTCAATATTTCTCTCGCGCCTGCCAATGTCACAGAGAACAGTCAACCTGGCACACGGATTGGTCAATTAACTGTCAGTGACCCTGATAACTATGGGCCACGTGGTACATTGCAGACACACAGTTGCCAAGTAACCGGTAGCAATATTGGCAAGTTTACCATCCAGTCAAACGTCCTCGCCCTAGGAGGTGCTAGTCTAGACTACGAACTAACACCGGTGACGCGTGTCCAGGTGAAGTGCACAGATAACGGCTCCCCACCCTTGTCCCTTGTGAGGGATTTGTCCATTAATGTGAATGACGTCAATGAGGCACCCACAAGCATTTCCCTGTCGAGCGATGCCATAGATGAAAATCAACCACCATTTTTGATAGGTTTGTAAATCGTTAATCTGATTTTAAATTATTTTGTCATGTTATAAAATTAGGGTTTCACTGAAATGCTTTAGGGTAGTTCTTAAAATAAATCAATTTAACCACTTTTTCGCTCTCGGTTTACCAACTCAACGCATGGAGCAAGCTACTTTGCCGTTGACTGAAAACATCGAAAACGTGTATTACTGATTATATCTGCTCTGGTACCTCGAAGTTGGCTTCTGGCATTCTCGGTAGTCAATAATATAAATTGATAATTTCTCTCTCGATTCTGTCCTAACTTGGCTAATAATCGCATGGGAAACAATACTTTCATCGTGTTGTCTTTCTCGTTATTTTTAAGGATTTTTCTCAACTGCTGATCCGGATAATGCCAATCAACCAACAAACCGGCAAACGTTTACCTACAAGCTCATGGGCGATACCGCTGGATTTCCATTCGTCATTGACGGCGATTCATTGAATTCTACACGAAGTCTGGACTATGAGGCTCAGCGCTCTTGGAACATCACAGTCCAGTCCGTCGATAGTGGGAACCCACAGCTAAGCGTCGTAACAGATTTTCTCATCTCTGTTATTGGTAAGTAAAATTTACCACCCGCACTCGGGTTGAAAATAAAACTGATAAACCGTTTCCCGGCCATTCAATGTCGCGCCTGTCCTTGGCGAGTAGAATGAAGTTTAGTAATTTCGATTGGTGATAATACCCTAATCCTGACCCTATACATTTGGCACAAACATGGGACTAAGAAAATTTTCAAAACCCTCCTTCATGCCAATGTCTCTTTTGGATGCAGTCTCTTTTGGATGCAAGCTACATCGTTGGCACGTTAAGCTATATATTAGGTTCACAAAAGACAAATGCCACTCAGCATAGTTGAAATTTCCTTTTTTGACATTACCACGATTGTGGGACCAAATCACAGTTTTTTAACGGCTTTTTTTTAATCGTGCAAAATCTCGCGAAATCTCGCGCATTCCGTAAACTCGTTACCGTTAACGAGTTAATATTCTTTATAGCATATCGAATTTATAAACACTATGACAAATATTTGAGGTTGAAAAGGGATAGAAGAACAACATTCTAATCAGTTTTGGTTCTTTTTCCACGCTCTCCTGCAGATGTCAACGAAAGGCCATTTAATATCACTTTGTCAAATACTGTCGTCGATGAAAATTGCCCGCAGGATACAGTTGTTGGTAACCTACTCTCCCTAGACCCAGATCGCTCGCAGACCCACACGTACACTATGGTAAACAGTGCGGGAGGTAGATTCAAACTAGCTGGAAAGCAACTAAAAGTAGCCATGTCTAATGTGGACTGCCTTAAGAACGGAGGAGATTTCTGCAAGTTGAATTACGAGAAAAAGGGTTCGTACACGGTGAAGGTGCGCGTAACAGATAACGGAAGCCCACGTCTGAGCAGTGAAGCAAGCATGGTTATTTCCTTGAATGACATCAATGACCGACCAAATGACTTCAGGCTGTCTAGTCGCACTGTGAAGGAAAATGCAACAGTTGGTACAAAAATTGGTCGGTTCACCGCCACGGACGAAGATCAGTTCCAAACGCTAACTTTTTCGCTGCTTAACAGTGATGGGGGAAGGTTTGCGATTGACTCTACAGGTTATTTGTTCAAAGCAAAGAAGACGGATTATGAGACGAGCAAGGCTCACAAGATCGTTGCGCAGGTGACAGACAATGGGACAGTGCCTTTAAACGTAAGTTCTCTCCACTCAGACTTCTGTAAAATGCTTTTATCACATGCAGTAGTTAAAGCGCTGTGGAAACAAAATCAAAGAAGTCAGAAGGGCTACGCAAAACAAAGGAAAATCACAAGGAGATAATGAAAGGTCAAAGCAAAATCAAACAAACCGCCTGAAGTGCAGATGACCAAACCGTGAGTGGCATCCTATCGGCCTGGTTGTGAGGGAGGAGAGGGTAGGGTAAGATTCTTCGACCAATCGCAGAGCGTCTTGACGAAAAGCCAGTGTGATACAAATATTTTACACAGTCATCCGAAAAACTAATACACATAACATGATCCTTTGTTTCCCTTCACAGAACAACAAAACATTCATCGTCGTTGTTGAGAATATTAACGAGCCTCCCATAAACATGACGCTTACATCAACATCAGGACAACAGTCATTCACTGACAACAAGCCTAGAGTCAACGAAAATTCAGCAGCCAACGCGACAGTGGGGACACTTCAAGCTTTTGATCATGACGAGGTGCAAAGCTTAACGTTCTCTTTAGACGACGACGCCAATGGTAAATTTACCGCGGGCTCGCATGTCACATGTCACAACAACACCAACATTCCCGGCGTGAAAACGATGTGCACCGCACTATTGCAAGTCAGCGGTGATCTCAACTATGAGGCAAGCCACAGTGAAGACATTGTGGTGCGTGTGACTGATCCCAGCGGTTTATTCCACATTCAGCCATTGCAGGTGGTGATTTTAGATGTTAATGACCGACCTAGCAATATCACTCTCGCAGGGGGTGATACGGCATCTATCAACGAAAACGTGAATGGTGGTTATGTGGGTGATCTTGTAGCCACAGATGAAGATTTTAACCAAACTCATAGGTACACTTGGATAAATAATGGTGGATGGAAATTTCGCCTCAGAAGCAACAAGATTTACGCTTCATCATACGCAAACTTGGATTACGAAGCAAAGTCGACCTACATTATTCGGGTTCGAAGCACAGATGATGGCAGCCCAAGGTTGAACATTGACAAGACCTTTACAGTAAAGGTAAGCCTCTTCAGCTTTGAAATGTTAATTTTTAAGGACGAAATAGGCTCGAGTGTCTGATAATAAAATTTATAAGTAACTGTATCGATTAATCAGCACAAAGGAAATTATTTCAAAGAGCTAGTTACATGTCAAGTAAAAACATGCAAAGTGCATGTAACTGGGAAATTTCGAGTGAATAAATTTCTCATCTTGATGGGGTTTAGGACCAGAGATTAAATTATCATCTTCTGACGTGATTTGCTGCTCAAGCCCAATCGAATATATTTTGTTTTGCCTTGTTAGATATTTGCTTTTCGTTTAACTTGGTTGTCTTTTTGTTTCTAGGGTCATTCTCTTTAAATAATTTTTCTTTGACGATTTTGCTTCGAGAAGAGATAGAAAGCTAGATCCCCCAAACGATCTTTGTGATTTCACTGAATTGTCCTACTCTGCCCCTCATATGAGGGTACTGCCTAAACTAGCAAAAATTATAGCACATTTCCTTTCTTTTCAGGTTCTTGATGTCAACGAACGACCAACAGATATTTTACTATCGTCGAGAAATGTCTTAGAAAATAGCCACAAGGGTACAGTGGTCGGCAACATATCTGTTTTAGACCCTGACGATATGGGACCTCGAGGACCCTGGCAAAATCACTCCTGTAGAGTACTAAACCCTTCCAGTACTCCTTTTAAGGTGAACGGAACAGACAACATTTTAGTTGTTGACGGAGATTTGAACTACGAAAAATTAGACAGTTACAGCATCGATATTCGATGCCATGACAACGCAAATCCTCCTTTATCTGTCGATAAAAACTTCAAGATAAATGTAATCGATGTGAACGAGAAACCCTATGACATTACCATCTCTAATAACGAGGTTGCCGAGAATACAGGGATTGTCACTGTTGGAAGTCTTGATACCGCTGACCCAGACAATGAGCTGATTGTGGTGCAAACGTTTACTTATACTATCGACGCTGCCTCTGGAAGTGTTCCTTTTGCCGCTGTCCACGGCCTACTTAACACCACGCGCAGTTTGGATTACGAGGCAAATTCGACTTGGTCGCTGACTATCAAATCTACGGATAACGAAGGTTATTATTACAATTATATGTACGTAATTAAGGAGAGAAAAAGTGCCCTTGCAAAATCAACTGGGATGAGTCGCAGAGAATCTATAAGGAACAACTACCAGGTCAATTTTTATGGCTCTAGAACTATTTTCATTTTGGTATAAAATACTCTGTTGTCACCAACTCGGAAATTGAAAGAGCGTGTAATGATCATTTTTCCAATCAGCCTGGTTGATTATCTGTGAACTCATTCTTCCTATTTTTCATTTCAACATAGTCAGTACTTGTTATTTGTGTGTCATTCAGTCGTTTTTCCAATATTTTTGATATTTAAAGATGCTTGAGGTTATCGAGTTGAGCTTTCTCTCTTTTATTTATATTGTAACTCTGTGTAGGCCTCACCACAACGAAGAACTTTTCGATCATCGTCAAAGACACAAATGATCCACCCACGGGTGTTTCAGCCAGCGGTCCACTTAGCGTCAATGAAAACAGCCAAACTGGAGAGTATATAGGAAGTTTGACGACCTCTGACCAGGATGTTGGACAGACGCACCAATATCAAATACTTAATGTGTTTGCACAGGGACACAGGAATCAAAGGTATTGCGGGCACGTGATATGTGTTGTGAGTTCTGTCTTGCATATCAGTGTTAGTTAGTTATCAGTGTTATCTACACCGGTTGGTAGCTGCTGGAAATAAACACAATTTATTTTAGAATCAAATAGTGTCGAGATAAATGTACGAGTGGATACGAAACGGCTACCTTACACAATTTTAGCGTAAACTTCTATTAGATTACTGAGGTGTTCATAAAAGACAAACTTACATGGGAGTCCTCGTAAGAAAGCTTCTTTCTCACTACGTAATAGCTTCTGAGCAACAGATTTGAACACGTGTGAACACGCGAAGTTCGATTCCTATTTTTCTTTGTCCCACACTCGTGACAAGACGGAAAACATATCTCTCTATTTATTTACTGAGCTGAATACTTGCCTTCTTTCTTATTCTATTTACAAACATGACGCTATAGACATCGCTGATCCCAGCAGTCTACAGAACGTGTGTCATACATGAACTTCGTAATGGGCCTCGCTCACCGTAGAGTCTCTGTGGCTCAGTGGTAAAGCATCGGTGGTCTGAGGTTCGATTCTTCGTGAGGACTCAGCATTTTTTCTTTGTCCCACGCTCGTGACTAGACGAAAAACATCTTTCTCCACTTTCTACTTGTTATACTTGCTTCGGTTTTGCAGAAAATGTTGTAATTAATTTTTGATATGATTTATGGCTGTCGTTGCCTTTGAGTTTTGGTCATGGCTTCACTCTTTTTGACAGTGATCTGAACGTTTTAATTTCTCTTTTTTTGCAGTAGTTCGTCAAATCTTCATAATTTGTTTTCTATTGAGTCGCCCTCTGGCCGAATTACACTTCAAAAGCCAGGGCTTGATTACGAGCTGTATGCCAACTACACAGTGACAGTGAACAGTACAGACAGCGGTTTTCCGCCGTACTCCATTTTAGCCTCGTTTGTCGTCAGCGTTAACAACACAAATGAACAGCCACAGAGCATTTTCCTGTCTGGAAACCAGGTTAGTCAGAACGAAACAGAAAATTATGGCTATTCCTAAATGACTGAAAAGCTAAATCAGTGGTATTTGCACCGTACTTATCTTGAACCCAGGCTTGGGAGAAAATTGTGAATGCTTGTTTTTCTGGAAGTCAAAAGGAAGGCTCAAAATTTGTCATCTTCCTTACCCTATGGATATTGCTGATACTAACAGTATGCAGGAGGTTTATCACACGTGAACCTAGTATAAGGTCTCAGCAACGAGTATTTTTGGGAGCATTTGATGACAATGAAATTCACTACTTGCTCGAACCCCTCACCGCTCGATCCCAGGGATATGGCGAGGAACTTAGCATTTTATGAAGACTTAAAATCTTTCGTTGTAATCCACGCCACAGCTAGGTACTTTCAAAGATAGTGAACCACTCATTTCCAGGTTCTCCATTGAAGATTAATAAAGTAAAATTTCCGCTTTAATGACCTTTCTTGTATCCTAGTAATATTACGCTGTTAAACGCGCGTCAAACTTGATGTTACCGGCCCCATGGATTTCCCCTTCTTAAGCGGGATTCGGGATTGGGAATTATTGTCCTTTTCTCTAACCTCACCATACACTAGTATCCTACTCAAGTGGTGCACTCTTTACTGGTCTCATTTTGAACAAGCCCATGTCGTGACATTTTAGGTACCTGAAAATAGCCCGGTGGATACAGTGGTTGGCGACTTATCAATATATGACCCGGATAACATTCACCTTCCTCTGCAAAAGTTTCAATGTTCAGTGGTAAATGATAAACCATTCAAGGTAAGTATCAAATCAAAATGAATGGACTTGCATTTATTTAATAATTTATTCATTTAGTAGTTCAGTGTTCTACAATGGTTAATAACTCCAAGAACGTTTATCAGTTCTGCATCAAAAGGGAAACAACTAGAAAAGTGACTACGTAAATGTTACGTCAATATGTCCGGCGCTGTTTTCAAATCAATCAAAGTGCATTCAATATTTATTTTCCAGTCAGACAAAGAAACCACGACCTTTTCGTATTCTGTGTTACAGAGTGTCAAAGAAAGCTTCCTGTCATAGAGAGCCTACTTTGATCGTTAAGAGTGACCAGCATCTAATTTCACCTTACAATGTCACCACTGAATCAAACAAAGATGATCACCAATCAAAAGAAAAAAAGATTTTGATTGTTAAACAAATTCCCTTATTCAGCACCTCGGGAAATTTAAAGAGAACGGTATGAAAAATATCCATACTGACGTTAGGGTACAGATTTAAGGGTTAATACGCTGCACTCGGTATCGGGGGGTTCTTATATGGTCGCGTTTTGTCCAGCTCATTTTGTTGTAGCTTTGAGCAAGGCAACTTACTTTCATGATTCCTTTCTCCACCCAGAAATTTAAACGTCCCTCAGCGAATTATCGCCTGGAATAACGATCGGCTTTATCGCTTTGCATGTTAGAAAAACTCTTGTATATTTCAAAGGTTATTTGCTTCTCTTAATCGAAAGGTATTCATGAAAGTTTCAGTTGTTCTCGTATAAGTTATCTCTTCTCTAAACTTGATTGCAGGTTGTAAATCATTTGACTTTGGTTGTTTCTAAAAACACGCTGGATTATGAAACAGTAGACACATACACAGTGAACGTAAGTTATCCATATTTAGTCTAGTTGAATGTTATTTATAATGGTAATGGGACCGAGTGAGGTCCAATTCTGTCTCTAATCATACGAGTGATTAACAAAATCGGACGACCGCGAAGCAGGAGTCCGATTTGTTAATCACGAGTATAATTACAGACAGAATTGGACGACAAGAAGTCCTATTACCAATTAATCGTAACGATTTCGATTTCCGAAAAAACAAATACATCTTGAACAAATATTTCCAGTGGAGACAATTTCTTTAGTTAAAATTCCTTCATTTTGGAAATTCCCCAGTTTTTCTTTGGATAAGTGGTTGTTGCTATGGTTATTTTGACCATTTCTGTGATTGGTGGATTAGCTGAGTGGACCTGTTATGATTGGCTGCTTCAACTGTCCGATTACAGGTGTCTGATTACAGCAAACTGTCCAATTACACTGTCTGATTACAACTGTACAGAATGATGAGTGAAAAATGAAGCTGCGAATGCACCAATAATATTTGAGGAATTTGTAGTTGTTATGATTAATGAGTGTAATATGATTTTGAAGTCAGGTTGCTTTTACCTTATAAGTTTGTGCAGTAAACTATCACTGTTAAAAAAAGAGAAGAATTCTTGATTTAGTAATGCTGAGCATCCGGTGCACTACCGATGCCCAACTCAAAAATAATTTATCTTAGAGGCTCAACGTCGCAATAATTTTTTCAGTTCCTTATTGCGACGTGAAAAATCAATATTGCCAAGAACATGAAGCCAGGGTAATGGCAAACTATTATAAAACAATATAACGGAGAGAATGAGACAAAAAGGAACCTGATCGAGAAGATTTTCACAGAACACAAATAGGATGGTAAATCGTTTTAATCTCACAGTTTTCATAATTTCCTCTTACAGGTCAATTGTACAGAGCTGTTACCAAATCCCTTCTCCGTCTCTTCACTGTTTGTGATTAACATCCAAGATGTAAACGAGGCTCCGTATAATCTGACCATCTCCGCCAATAAATTGAACGAGAACGGACCTCCTGGGGTTGTCGTGGGAACACTCAGTGTTCATGATCCTGATTTACCGGTTAGATGGCAACTTGCAGATTTTTTTCCACCGTTAGGAGTATCTACCGATAATATGTAAAAGTCAAACACCTTTTGAAGTTTTTGAAAAGAGGAAAATTAATAACAGGAAGGAATTGTTACTGCGCGAGGCTCGTCTAACAAGGTTCAACTTCATTGATCGCGCATTCAGTAGTCAGTCAAACATCCAAGTGCAACCCCGTCCACTAAGACCCAACCTCCGTTATTTTACAGCGGAATTTTTATTACTTTAGTTTGCTTGTCTACTTGAAGTTTTCTTTTTGTTTCGCTTTCTTTTCCATTGTCAGCTTCAATTCATCTAATTTGTTGTTAATCTCTTGGTCTTTTTCCTCACAGTCGAGTGGGAGAGCCAATGTATCACTAGCTCTAAAATACCAGACACCAGGCCCGGTGGCGTTCACATTAAATGGCAGTAGACTGGTAACTACCAGAAAACTGAATTTTGAAACTCAAGATTCCTACAAAGTGACAGTTGTTGCAACAGACAGCGGTAACCCACCACTCAATACCAGTCTCACTTTTACAATTCAGGTGAAAAAAAACCCTCCATAGACATTTCCAAATCTTGTGTACTAGAAATCGTCAAGTCCCATATAGAGTTTCTCCACAAAGTAGGAGTAGTACATATGGCGAACTAGTGATTGGAATATGCAAAGTTAGTGTATACTATAGAGGTAAATAGTGCTTTTTGCTCGCGCTGATTGGCTGCTTTGGAAACGATTAGAAAGAGCTATTCACCTCCGAGCAGCCGAATCGTCAAAATCGTGCGTCAAGATTGAAATTTCCGACCATTTTTCGGTATCTTGACAAAAATAAACTATTTATTGGTTTCTGTGTGGTATATTCTCAGAAAATTATTCACCTCAGTGTCGGTGAAAGTGGTGGATACTTACTTCTACCTCGGTGAATAACCCTTACCCTAAGATGAATCCAGTCTATAAACTAATTTACATTTACATGGAAATGTTTAGTAGTTTGAGAGAAAAATTCTGTAGAGATCTTACACCATTCAATATTAATTCATGTGTGTTGCAATAGATTTCAGTCACTCTATCTTTTAAAACAATGATTCAGTGTAACAATCCTTAATTCTGGTGAAATTTCCAGCCATAATTTATTTCCCAGTGCTTGATTCTGTTTTGAGAAATTCTCCGTGGTCTAAGAAATACCATTCAATTTTAGGTGATTGATGTAAATGACCCGCCCACTGCAGTCAAGCTAGTGTCAAATGGTATCTACGAAAATGCCACCGCTGGTACTATCGTCGGAGTATTGCAGGCTACAGACCAAGATGCAGATCAAAGTCATACTTTTGTGGTTACTGGTTATGGTTCAGGTATTTAAAACTTATGCAGCAAATAAATGTTGTATTTTATTGTCACCCTAAACCTCGACTTATACGCATGGGCATTAACATTTTAATATTACTCGTCTTCATCAGTAATTTATTTTTCCTTTCATAAAAAATGACGAAGGCTGAGAATCTTTTCTTAGCAAAGAAGGGGTAGTAAAGGTCGTTCTTTGATGAAAAGAGCCCATTTAAGTGAAAATGTCTTCCGAGTTGTATCGTACTTAAAACCTGCGTTAGCTGGGTTAATTGAGACGCGCTGAAGAGTGGATAAACGACGCATAGAGGTTGTCAGGGAAACGAAAACCTGTTGGCTAATCAAAGCTACACCCGTCAATCTTGCCTTGGTCTTGGCCTGACTGGCTAGACGGAAAACTTATGAGAACCTGATCGCAGCGATTTTGGAACGGCACGTTACTATTTCCGTTAGAGCTCTCACACGTTATATTGATGACAACAATATTAATTTGGTTGCTTTCAGATTGGTTCTTTGTTAATGGAAGCAGCCTGCGGCTCAAAGGCACACCACTGAATTACGAAACCACACCTGTGATGAATATAACTATCCTTGTTCTAGACAATGGCTCCCCTCCCCTTTCATATAAGGTTCGTTTAGTGACAGAATCACAGTATTATGCTAGTATGCTTTTCTCTTAAATAATTTTGATTTGAATTTTGTACTGATATCTTTTAATTTATGTGACTTATGTAAAATATATTACGATAACCAGCAACTGGATTTTTGCATTTGAATTACAGGGAAACGTGAGTGTCATGGTGCTTGACAGCAACGATCGACCATCAGATATTATCTTTAACTCGTCCCTCTCAGTAACCGATAGCACTTCGTACCAGATCGTCATACCCGAGAACAGCCCGAGTGGAACTTCGCTTATGAACTTAAGTGTCGTTGACGAGGACTTTGGTCAACAACACAGTTGTGAACTTGTCGCAGGGAGGAATTATTTCATTATAAGTTCTGCATCTAAATCGACGTCTGAAATAACTCTGAAGGAAGGCGCTGATTTAAATTACGAAACTCTTTTGGATACTCTACTAAAAGGTAAGAAACGGCGTTTCCTCTGATGCAGTACCTGCTTTGTGTTTTTTTTCTCAAACTTGGCCTCTAGCTTTGGGGGGTTCCTTGTTCATCAACCCGAGGTACGAATAATTTACTGCCGAGGTACGAGATACCTTGAATCAAAACTGACCTCACTTAAGTCTCTGAGGAGTATCAAGTCTCGTAACTTGGCCAGTACGATACGCTTCGTACGATCGCTGTAATTGGTAGCTAACGATCATTTGGAAACCAGGCTTGTATGCTCCAGCAGTTTATGAGATTATAGAGGCACAATTTATAGCAGTATTCTTTCTCTTTCTACAGTATCGGTTGAGTGCCGAGATGATGGAAGTCCCCCATACTCGATACAAAAGAACTTTAGTGTTCAAGTATCTGACGTGAACGAAGCACCATACGATATCCGTTTAAATGGTTCCACTGTGGTAGAAGAGAACGTGCGTGTTGGTTACGCTGTGGGATATTTAACATGTGAGGACCCGGATATAGGTCAAAGTCACATGTTTACTGTCATCGGGAATTACTCGTCCGTCTTCGAGGTAACAGTTGCAAAAGTTGAGAAAGAACCGAAATACAAGTACCTTAGTAATGTAATTTTGACATGTTGGTTTAGCATGTTGGTTTGACATGTGTGGTTTTTCAGAACCATAACTTAAACTTTTGTTCGCTTCTTTAAAAATTTAATGAATCTCTTTTCCCAAGAAAAGAAATCGAAGATATTTTATACTAAACCAAAATTCTTATTACTTGGGCTGGGACAGAAAGTTTGCATTTTAAATTTTCCCACTTTTTCCCCATTCATTTTTTTTTTCACTAGTAGCACGCAGTTTTCATAAACTTTTACCAGTGACTTTCTATAGGAAGTGTTTTAAAGTTATTTCCCTCGCAGATTTATCGAAATGTATTTTGCCAGAGCCCCCCTAAAATGGTCTAAGGAAGATGTCTAAAGTTGTGATTTCTCAATTATGAGCTAATTTACTTGGAGATCTTATTTCGCTGTAAATGAAGTCTTCAAAATAAACTCATAAGTAGGAATTTCATGAAGGTGACATCGGTGTATAATATTTTAAAGCTACAAATATATATATATATTTTACGAAGTGTCTAGATATAAGTGCAGTTCAGAAGAACGTCTCTTTTGGGACGTATCTTTTTCAGGGGATGGCTCCATTCATAGGACCTGCACATGACTCCAAATGAAGTGAATTTTCCCATGAGTTCCGTATCTGTGATCTTAATTGTGAGGAAAACTTATTCAGGCGGCGCTTTTTATTTCCGAGTACTAAGGGTGACTCTAGATCTCAGATATGATATCAGATGCGGTTTTCATTGCAGGTAAATAACAGTTACAACCTGGTTGTCAAAGACCCCTCACACCTGGACTACGAGAATCTTCATCCAAATTTGGTCCTTACCGTCGCTATTCAAGTGACAGATAACCCTGTGAAAGGAACAGGAGCTCCTCTGAAAGCCATTGGTAACGTCACCATTAGCATAACGGACATCAACGAGGCACCTCATGACATCCGACTTGTTCCCGCTAATGTAACAGTCCCTGAAAATGTTTCAGTCGGTTACTGTCTTGCGCAGATAGCATCACGAAACCCCGAGAAATTGCAAACCGTAGTATATACCCTCCTCAACTACCAAAGTATGCTTTCAATTGAAGATGTTTGCAAGGATAACTCTTCCTCTGCTGGCCATCAAGATGACGGTTTACCTTATCTGATTGTGAAGTCGCATCTAAGTTACAATGATTACGTAGTACAAGGTTATCAAATTCTTATAGAAGCTGAAGACAACGGAATTCCTCCACAAACGTTCAACGAGACGGTTCAAATTCACGTGACTAAAATTGACCCATGTCCCCAGGCCACTTGTCACGTGGACGCCACGTGCAGCCGCGTTGATTGGCAGAATTACACTTGCGCTTGCAATGCGGGCTACTCAGGAAACGGCTTCAACTGCCAGGAAATAGACGAGTGTAACATCACTTGCACGGAAGTAGATGAGTGTATTGCCAACCCGTGTAGCAACGGTGGCACGTGCCACGATTTCGTGAATTACTACAACTGCACGTGTCCCAGTGGATATAACAATGGTACAGACTGCACATTTATAAATTTTTGTAGTTCAAGCCCGTGTATGAATGATGCGACTTGTAACCCCGTCCTGAATGGATACAACTGCCTTTGTCCGTGTGGTTTTACAGGAAAACATTGTGAAACGAATATCGATGAGTGCGTGGATCCTAAAAAGTGCTTTGAGGGAAGTTGTACTGATAAAAATTGCAGCTTTATCTGTAAATGCGAACCCCAGTTTTTCGGTCCTCAATGTCGAAGGATGGAGGGTGAATGTACAGAAAAACAATGCGGGGAACAAGAAATCTGCATACCACGAAACGTAGAAAGGTACAACACGACATTTTGCGTTTCTGCCGGTGCTCTTGTGTCGTTACCATTTCCAGAAGACGAGATTTCCAACCCGTATAAACATTATCAGTTAGAACGTTGGTTCTTTGAAAATGAAAAACAGTTTCCGCTGAGCGAAATTACGAATAACGATGATGATTCAGACATGGTAAGTGTAACAGACGTTTATGTCAGACAACCGAGCTGGGAACATCCGTCAAAAGCAAAAAGAAGCTTATCTGAAGAAAACCTCCCTACGTTAGATTTTGTTGTGCTCGTTTACTTGCAAGAACAGGAAAAATATATGGGTGTTCCGTCGAAAACAGTCCTGTGCAACATTAACAAAACATGCGTCACGCACAGCTACACCAAAACTGAAACAAAGGCTGATTTTGAATACGGGCTTTGCATTGCAACGGCTTGGGAGGTAAAGAAAAGGGATACTGAATGGTGCGTTTCTAAAGAAGCCAAGGAAAGGCCTCTCAAACGTTTGTCACCCAAACCGAAGATGAATTTATACTACGTGATCGCTGGGATTGGAGGTATCTTGCTGATTGTTCTTATCACAGGGCTCACCCTCTGCAGAAGAAACACCTTGATTGCTCGAGAGCGCAAGTTTATGAAACATCAACGGTTTACGGAGAGAAGAGATACTTACATCGACAACATGCACAGGCATCAAAGGGCTAACCAAGAAATGGAGGCCTTAGGAACTGTGAACCTGATTTACGGAAATGAGGAGCAGGAAGTTACACGGCGGGAAGTTGCACGGCAAATAAATGTGATGGACAATCCACTCTATGAGGCTCCAGGCGAAATCAAAGCCAAGCGTTCGGAACCTTCCCGTGGCTTTAACAATCCAATGTACGTAAGTTTCCAACCGCCACAGCCGGATGAAAAGAAAACCGTGCGAGAGGAGGAAGCTGAGGAAGCCTGTGCTGCTGTAGGTTTTGCGAATCCCATGTTTGCTTCGCACAGACAGGTGGGTCCGGGATGATTAGAGCAAATTTTCGACTGATCCTTCATAACAATTACCTTGTCTTAGGACGCCTTATGAAGCGTACATGCAACACTTTAATGGAGCCCATTTTCAATGACTATCTTTAAACCAAATCAAATCTTTTTGGCGGACCTCACTTTTGAGACCATAATTTGAATTTAACTGAGCAGCTTCTAAGCCACAAAAGATACGGTATATTACTTTTTATCTATTTTTTTCTTTAACTTGCAAGTAATAAAATAGTGGACTTCAAGCCATACTCCCCTGTTTCAAGCCTGGGTCGGATTTAGAATGGGCGGAGGGGGCAGGGGTTCTATTCAAGAATCTTTTTAGCTGGTTTTGTGTCACCTGCCCTCCAAATTTTCACTCTGTCTTGAAGAATAATTCGTATCAAAAATGACACCCCTTTCTAGGAAAAATTTAGTTGGGTACCGAGTAGTTTACCTCTGAGTAACCTGCAATGTGCAGCACGGAGTGTTGACTCAATTATACCCAATTGAAATATTTTAAGAAGCAACTTCTTAGTGAATGTTCTCAATTGGCAGCTGATTGGTCTGAAGCATCCGTGTGTTAAAAATGTTGGACACCTTTTAGCCGTCAGGCGGCAGATATTTCATAGACAAATCCTCCTCACGTGTTTCCAAGGTGGCCTTGAATACCCCACTTCTCATTTAACAGCTAGTTTCAGTCGTCACTATTTGAAATTTCATACTGTATTTGACTTTCTGTAGGAAAAGAAGACATTGGAACAGAAACAAGACGACAGCGGCATATACGCAGTGCCAGTCCAACCAGACAAGCCAGCTAAGCGGGAAAGAAAAACGCCGATATATGACACTCCCACGAAACCAACCCAACCGGTTAACGAAGAACCTGTAGTTAGCGGAGGGCCTGGGTTCTTTAACCCTTTGTACCAGACCCGCAAGGAGGTGGAGGAATTTCCCTCTGATATAACCAGCATATTTGCTCCCCCCAGCAAGCCAACAGGGCGAACTCTTGACGATGACCTGGGGCAGAGTGACTGTTAAAACATCTGAGAAGGGATATATTTTTTTTTCTTCCTTGAGGGTTAAAAATTGACAAACTTTTCAAATACCCCCAATGAAACGTTCTTTTTTTTTATTTCAGTTTTTTCTTTTTGGAGAAAAAAGGCAATTTATTGATCCTCAGCTTCAAATAGATTCATTTAGTGTTTTAACATTTGCGATTGCTTTTTGTTTTTTCCATCTACTTCTCTGTCTCTCAAGGAGTGCGAGAAGGAAACACAGAGATCATTATTCAACCCGTCTTCAATTTCCATCTCTTAATAAACTAAGTTTTTAACGTGTGGTTACTGGGGAAATGTTTTCCGTACTTACATCTCCTCAGTGTAATCACACCAATCCATCAATTGACCATTTAGATTTGTTAGGTATTCAGCGTCACACAACACCAAGTAGCTAGTAATTTTGCGTGACATGGAAAGGAGTTAATCTCGGTAGGACACTTTTTGGGATTTCACTTACCTAAAGAGATATTATATTACAAAAGTTTGTCATTTTGAACCCGTTTTAATCCTCTGCAATTTAAAATCTTTCTTACTTTGCCATCACCCTATATTTGTACTCGTAAGCTACTAGTAACATTTTGTAGTTTCCTTTAAAGTTAAAATATGTTTCGAAAAATTTACAAAAATTCTCCGTTAACCTTTGCACTGCCTGGGGTGATCTTACTTCTATATTCTCCCAAAAGTTTTAAAACTTTTTGAAGCAGACAGGTAAGGAGAACTTAGACAATTACATTAAGAATATTGTCTCGATGTAACTCCAAACACTCACAAACAGCCAACAAGAAATACGTACAATAACTTGTTTGGAGAATTGGCATTCAGACCTCGGGAGTGAAGGGGTTAACGAGTGAATGAGGTTTCAAGCTTTGGAAGATTCATAGAGTTCGAATGGAAATGCTAAGAGATTTTTCCAACCAGATCCGAAAAGGGGAAGAGATATAGAGAGTGACTGCAGTCCTCGTATATCAAAGTTTGGCCTATCAAGTCCATCTTTTGATAGTGAAATGTACACGATCGGTTCATTTTCAAAGATCAGTCCACTTCATTTTATAAATGTAGCCATGAAAATCACTTTTGACTCCCTCTGAAATATCAGATGGGTTTTTTTTTTCGGCGTTGTCAATAGCATTGCATTGGTCAATTAACATAACCATTCGTCAATTGTCACGACTGATTTACAATGCCAGTATTTTTTCACTTGTTTTCCAAATTTCAATTTCAATCATTATTTCCAATTCATTCACTTTCATGACGACCCTCTTTTGAAAGGGAATAGTGAATGCAATTTGAATCATTTTCGAGAAATTTAATTACAATAATTTTAGAGAGACACCCGTCCTCTCAAACTTAATTCAATGGAAATTCAAAGTTATTACAAGAATTTAAATTTTGGGTTTTAATCAAATGCCTGTTCTTTATTGATTATTGATAAATGTCCATATATTGATTTCGTAATGCTTTGCAAGTTATCTTGACATTTCAGATAACGAATTGTACTTGTTATTTCTTATTCCTCATTTTATCAGTGCTGAAGAATAATCGTGAAAATATCAATCATACTTTAGAGAGACATTCGTCAACTTTAAATTAATTGGTTGAGAATTTGATTGATTGAGAATTTGATTATTTCATTTTTATCAAATTGATTTGAGGCAGTACGAAAATATCTCTAAAAAATATATATCCAATCCAAGACCCAATTTGTTTTGATTCGTTACGTATTAATATGTTTAGTCATTAAGTTTTTTTTTAATAGAGCAAATAGCGTGAATAATTTCACACTGAATTATTTTCCATGCAGTTGAAATCTACTGTAGCTCTGTGAACGAAATACCGCGCTTTAATAAAAAAAACTTGGGATCAAAATATTTTTGTGTCATGCTCGATTGAGTCTTGGGATTCCTGGGCAAGAAGTTCTTGATTCAAAGGGTGCGTTATTTTGTTCCATGTCAGGAGGAAATCTGTGACCTGCTTAACAGGTGATATCGTTCTTGCCTTCTATGTCGAGCGAAGGCAAATACGGGAAAAGCGCGAAAAGGCAACTGGCGCGTGATTCGAGACTTCCCTCTCCAGTGCTATGATGCTAAATATTGCATGTGTACATTCTGACTACAGTCACACGATACATGTAATAAGAAAAGTTTATTTAGAACGAGCCAGTCTTTTTTTTTACTTAGAATTGTCTCGTTTTTTATTTTTTAATTTAGGATTAAGTTTATAATCTGAAACTTCCATGATGCCACGCGAACCTCTTTACTTAATGCTGTCGGAATATTCATTTCTGACTAATTTGTTCCCATGTTACTCAAACGTCAGAAATTACCGGTTTGTTTCATTTCCCTGACTCACGCATCTCGTTAAGTCGCCGACCGAAGGATGTGGCCAATTTTAAAAAGCCTTCAAACAAGGCGTCTCTATCTCCTCAACCCTGAACTGAAACAATCTCCATCTATACTTATGCAACTACTTGACGAACATTGTGCTCTTTCTGGGAAAAA